TAATAATATATAGAGTAATATATATATATATATATATATATATATATATATATATATATATATAGATATAGATATAGATATAGATATATATATATACGCCGTTACCATAACAATCTTACCTGTGCAGCACATTGTGTTCGTGGCAGTACTTGATCGCACTGAACATTGGTCTCAGCAAGCTGGCGGCATCCCTCTCGCTGTAGCTACCCTTTTCGTTGATCTGTCTTGTGATGGCCTGCAGAGCATCGCCATGGGGCGCCAATTCCAGAAGAAAATATACGTGGTGGCTATCTTCAATGGCCTCGTGCAGCGTTACGATGTTTTTGCTCCCTCTGCATTTGCATGTGTATGTGTATGTGTAGGCGTGATTTAATATGTGTACATATGTATTCTTATAGATATACATACATATATATATATATATATATATATATATATGCTAGTAGTCGACAGCTGTGTCTTTGTAACAGCACACAAAGTGAGCGATTTCTCAATATTTTTATGTCTTTACAGAACGAAAAGCGATCCTTCCCTCAGAGGTAATATTTGGCAATACATCCGTGTGTTTTAGCGTACATAAATATACAAGTAATCTTTTTCAAACGGTCGAGTAGGATAGGGCTGCGTAGCTATCAACATGTAAAGACATATACCACTAAACAAGCCTCGACTTAGCACCGGTTGCAAGTTTACAGTACATGGCCAAGGTTTAGATACCCAACAATATCTCACAGCAGATATGAATGTCCGGCTATACATTGGTAGTACACTGTGGATACTTACATGTAATGCACATATTCCGACCAAGACCTCCACAAAGAAGCGAGAGCGATAACAATTTTCTACACAGACGGTTGTAGATGAGAGACAGGCGACCCATCGGTACCTGTGACATATACAGACACTCTCCTCGACTATTGGTATAGCTGTAGTGTGAACTCTCAGCCATACACAACGCCCAGAGGTCGTACATTCAATACCAAACCTGCCAACACACAGCACATACATTCATGTAGCAGAGATACCGGGGCGAAGCCACATACCTCAACGCTTGAAGGATGCGGTATTCGGTATAGACCATCTGCTGTGTTCCGTCCTGTTTGATGCGCACCTTGAGGAGGTCTTTGCACGCGTAGTGCAGCGCCTTGTCCTTCTTGTCGGACACAAGGAAAACTGTGCCGAAACCACCCTTGCCCAGAACTTTTCCCTGATAAGCAATGAATGAGAACGAGTGACTTCGGTGAACTTGTCGTTTGGGTTGATTTCGTACTGGACTGTCTGTTTCTCGGGTCCTTTGGAATATATTCAATTGACGTGATGTGTGTATGTCGTAGACACAAAAGGCTTTAAAGGTTCGAACACGCGTCGAATTGAATCAAATACACCAGGTGAAATATATTTTAAACTTGTAAATACGATACGGATATGAAATCTTCAGCGACATAGACTCCTACACGTTTATAATTATTTATAGAGACCAGGCTTAATGGAAATGTGGCACATTGCAGACAACTGTATGTATGCAGGTTAATATGTATAAAAAAATAACATAAACATATGCCTATCACATTAGAATGAAGATGCAGAATGAGTATATATATATATATATATAAAGATGAAATGAGATTAATTGAGACAAAAATATAATTATTTGTGTACATATACCAGGTACACGTACAAACACACACACACATATATA